AGACCTACACCCAGTCTGGTAGTCCAGACCTACACCCAGTCTAGTAGTCCAGACCTACACCCAGTCTAGTAGTCCAGACCTACACCCAGTCTGGTAGTCCAGACCTACACCCAGTCAAGTAGTCCAGACCTACACCCAGTCTAGTAGTCCAGACCTACACCCAGTCTAGTAGTCCAGACCTACACCCAGTCTGGTAGTCCAGACCTACACCCACTCTGGTTGTCCAGACCTCTGAGCCCCAGAATGGCTAGCGGGTGTACTAGATCCATGCGATGCGATCGGGTGTAAAAATAGTAGTTTGAAAAGTATCAATGAATATAAAATATATTTGATTTCCTTATTGATTCCTCTTTCCGTTTGGTTTCATTTGTTGCACTTATCTATCCTTGCAGGAGTAAACATTGCCTCACTTGGCAACATGGCATGGTGACGTCACTCGTAGTAGCCAATAAGAAAGCAGCAGAGTGCTGAAGCCTTGAGCCGAGTTTCCCAAGTCTAACATCAACTTTCTCGGAATTCCCCTAACTTCTGCAGCTTATTCAAAGCTGAACACGTACGAGTCAATATTAATAAGAAACTAAAAAATATATATAAATAAGTAATGTTTTAAGATAAGCTAGATATGGATGGCGTCTGTAAGGATAGTAGTGGAAGGCATTCCCGGGGTAGCCTATGCCAACCCATTCAAAAATTACATAAAATTTAAATTACGAAAAAATACAAATGCCTAGCCTTTTTTACCCGCTCTTTGTAAATCCTGTCTTACCTCTTCTCTTTCTCTCTTATTTCTCTTGTTTTCTTTCTCCCTACTGCTATTGTTCATACTATGTGCTGGTCATGAGTAAGTCATGTGGTCAGCTGACCATGTGTTTATGTTATGCTGGTGAAAACATTTTCAACTGTATGAATGGATGAACTATGATGGAGGAATGGTCTTTTAATATATTTTCATTTTAATTCTTAAAAATCCCTTTGAAATGTAAGCAAAACTATATTTAAAATAATATGAAAACAAGAGCATCATTCTACATAAATTATAATATTTATTATATCTTCATTAACAAAATTTAATTTCATACAATTTTGGTCCGAGTAATTTAGTCAGGTTTTATATCATGATGCTGCTTTTGTTCACTGTCACACAGGACAGTGAAGATGCTGCTTTTGTTCACTGCCACACAGGACAGTGAGGATGCTGCTTTAGTTCACTGTCACACAGGACAGTGAGGATGCTGCTTTTGGTCACTGTCACACAGGACAGTGAGGATGCTGCTTTTGGTCACTGTCACACAGGACAGTGAGGATGCTGCTTTTGTTCACTGTCACACAGGACAGTGAGGATGCTGCTTCTGTCCACTCCAAAACACACCACCAACACTATCCCTCCCCAGCACATCTTCACCCCCCCCCCCTTTAATCAACCCTTCCCAGCACACCTTCAACAAAACCTCTCTCCAACTCATAACACCCACTCTCTACCCTCGATACTGCATCTGCAAAAGCCATGCACATATGTAAAATACTTCTAACGTTGATTAAAATGCCTTGCGGGCTGAATCAGAAGCTGTGCTGGCAGATTGATGGCAGACTGAATGTATGTGTGTGTGTGTGTATTCACCTAGTTGTATTCACCTAGTTGTGCTTGCGGGGGTTGAGCTCTGCTCTTTGGTCCCGCCTCTCAACAGTCATTCAACCGGTGTACAGATTCCTGAGCCTATTGGGCTCTATAATATCCACATTTGAAACTGTGTATGGAGTCTGCCTCCACCACAATATTTCCTAATGCATTTCAATTGTTAACTACTCTGCCACTAAAAAAGTAGTTTCTAATGTCTCTATGGCTCATTTGGGTACGCAGTTTCCACCTGTGTTCCTTAGAGGGTGTGTCCCCTGTGTTAAATAAACTGTCTATCTACCCTATCAATTCCTCTGAAAATCTTGTGTAGTGATTGTCATGTTCACAGAAAATGGTACCATCCGTTTTCTATGTGTGGCGGAGCAGACGCCAGAGAGAGAGAGTGAAGGTAAACAAGAGCGTACAGGACGCCAGCCAAGCTTGGTAGCTACTAGTCATGTAATCATATTAAGTATTAAAGTCAGTAACCAAATCATGACTTTACATCAACCCTACAACCAAGACTTCCTCAGTAACACACAAACACCACAGTGATCATGTCTCCCTTAACTCTTCTGTCTCCCAGCGAGGTATAGTTCCCGTAGTCTCTCTTTGTAGCTCATACTCCTCAGCTCGGGCACTAGTCTGGTGGCATACCTCTGAACCTTCGCCAATTTAGAATTGTGTTTGACGAGATACGGACTCCATGTTAGAGCTGCATATTCCAGAATTAGTCTGACATATGTGGTATCCAAGGTTCTGAATGATTCCTTATACGTTTCTAAAGGCTGTTCTTATGTTGGCCAAACTGGCATATACCGCTGATGATATCGTCTTACTATGGGCATCATGGGACAGGTCTGGCGTGATATATCAATCCCCAGGTCTTTCTCACTCTGATTCTTGAAGAATTTCATCTCCCCAATGGTACGTTGTGTGTGTGTGTGTGTGTGTGTGTGTGTGTGTGTGTGTGTGTGTGTGTGTGTGTGTGTGTGTGTGTGTGTGTGTGTGTGTGTGTGTGTGAGAGAGAGAGAGAGAGAGAGAGAGAGAGAGAGAGAGAGAGAGAGAGAGAGAGAGAGAGAGAGAGAGAGAGAGAGAGAGAGAGAGAGAGAGAGAGAGAGAGAGAGAGAGAGAGAGAGAGAGAGAGAGAGAGAGAGAGAGAGAATGAATGAATTTCACTTAGTAATTTTTTCCTTGAGTTTCGTTAAAATCCTCAAGAATCATAGGATTTAATTAACAAAAGTGAAAACAATTCAGTTCGCCATATCGCTCTGAGGACTCCATTAGCGGGTCTAATGTTTTGACGACCTCGGTATCGAAGGAAAGGTCGCTAGGCTTGAAAGGCCAAACCTTACTTGTTGATTTCTTGCGAAGCTTAGAAACCACCCATCCCCCAACCTCTTAAAGCGGAACAGCTGCGATGACTCCAGGTCAGGTCAAACTTGTTGTTGCAAGGCGAGCGATGCTTCAAGGTCAGTTTAATCCGTCATGTTGATGAATGGAACCTATTTAGGTATAAGGTCAAAAGCAAGCACTGGGATTTTAGCAATCATTTAGCTCTGAAGAGGATATATTGATATGACGTGGACGGTTCTTAATTATTTTAAATATTTAATTTTAAATGTGGCTTACAGATTCTCTCCCAAAAAAACTTATTTACATTTTTATAACGTTAATTTGTAGTGCCAGCTCGGGTATATTCTCAGCAGTCTTATTAAAACTGATCCATCGTGAGAGACGTCTCAAGTGTCCACACACAGATCCTGGTGTTTTCTTTACATTCAAATGGTAAGTCTGAGTTTATGTTTGCTCTCTGTGTACAGTATTGTTAAAATCTGTTCTTGCGAGCGTAGAGAATGGATAGACAAGGCCCAAGGGTATATATTGGTTTTTATTTTCTTCAGTCTCCTGCAGGTTACCAAGATCCATTTTGTTGCTCTTCCTATTTTATATTTATTTTCGTATTTATTGTATATCCTAATTCCAACCCATCCTCCTGAAATAATAGTACTTATAGTAACTATTTGGTCGAAAGTACCAGTATGTAGGGATGGTTCACCAGTAAACCACTTTTTATACTATTCATGTATAGTCCACGAAAAAATAAAGCTAAAAAACAAAATTAAATATTCCTAGGCCTAGTATAGCACATATATGTACTATATTAGGCTTTAGATAGCGTATATAGTCCTGGGATTGCTGGGAGAGGTTAGGCTAGGTCTTATATTTATATTGCAGCTTAAAACGTTTCCTGTTGGCCCAAATTTAAAAACACAAATGTCAACTTTTTGGTGTGCTATCTCTACATATTGGTACTTTTGATGAATAGTTACGATAAGTATTTTCATTTTAGGAGGATGAGCAATCGTATATAATATGAGACTGATATGAATGATAATGGGATTAACGGATTCTTAGGCTTAAGTATAAGCTTCTAAAATTTCACCTTTTCCCCAAATGGTCATCAAATCATTCAGATCCATTGGCATGAGGTATCTAAAGCTTTGCAATTACTTTATCCACTCTCGTGTTCTTGAGGATATCCTCATAATGCATCCAAAATTTGTCAGTGCAGGCTACTGAACATATGGTCCCGTATGAATAACCATCCTGCGAGATGGGGATTTTTAATACTATTCACTCTTGTGTTAAATTTGATATGCTCATAACGCACCCAGTGTGCCAGTGCAGACTACTTTTCACGTGCTTCTGTATGACTAACCATCCTGTGTGATGGGGATTTTTATCAAGGAGCTAGTTTTTTGACACACTGTACTCCCTTTCGTATAGTCTAGGGTTGCTGCACAAACGCAGATGTATTTAAATGTGTTACTAAATAAAAAGAACAGAGACGAAATAAACCTTTTGCATTTTGTGACACAATGAGAACCCACTCTTGTACCTATAGGCCAGAGGGTTCCTGAAATATTGCCAGGTGATGGTGATGAGGCTTCGTAGATTATAACCGTACAGGTAATTTTCAACTGTTTCCCGAATTTGCATCACTAATGTTCCGTTGTGCGAATGAAGAATATTTTATTAGATGCTATTTTGATATATAACTGTGCATCCTCACCCATTTTTTAACCATCCATCTGCTTAGTTTGTCATAGTTTATGTTTGTTAAAAGTTTTGTCTTTGATCTGTGAATTGTTATTTTGATTTTATACGAGTTTATTTTGAAGACTTTCTAGGGAGGAATTTTGGAGTGTTGCATCTCCTTAATATTTTGTGATTATAAATTATTCTTCCTGGCGGTGTCTGGCGTACGATGGCTTTGGTCGTCGGAAATAGTTTCCATGTATCCTAGCAAGCTGCATATTTGAGGTGGTTTTGTAAGCGAGAATGGTTACCTGAGGCTTTTAGTCTTAAAAATATTGGAGTCTTACTCTCTACGCAGATCTGTTACTCCAGATCCTGTGTTGAGGCTTCCGACCGGCGAGGCTTCACTTCCGACACAAGCTTCCGCCTCTGTGTTAGCCAGGATGCCAGAGTTGTGCGGGACTCTAGATTTTAAGATCAGTTTATTTGGCTGGTGAATATATCTGACATAAACATCCTGATATAAATTATAATTTACATCAGGACTAGTTGGATAACACTTAGGATGTGGTGCATTATAATTTTTATGTTGTGGTGTAATGGTAAAGGGTCTATATGCGGCCCGTTTTCGCCAGCGTTGCCAACGTCAAGAAACTGTCGTAGTAAAGTGCCCTAACCTAACCAACCAGAGGACCAACGAACAGAAAACGGGACATTGTCACTTGCGCCTTCACTCTAACGTCCCCTTAAACAACTATCTAATTCAGAAACAGAGAAACAACAGCTTACTAAATCATAAAAGAACTATTGTACCACATTAAGAATAAGAAAAGTTCTTGTAAAATTATTTTATACCAACCTCACGCCATACAACCTGTTCTCTTTATAACACGTCGCATTTTGACGTATACTTCACCACAAGGCCAAAAAATAATATACAAGAAAATGTTAGCGGCTCGCGAAATTGACAGCTTCCCATCTGCCTGTTCGCGGGTCCTCTGGTTAGGTTAGGTTAGGTTAGGTTAGGTTAGGTTAGGTTAGGTTAGGGCATGTTAGTACAACAGCTTCTTGAGGTTAGGAACGCCCGCGAGAACGGCCTGTATCTCTGCCCCAAGTTCTAAGCAGCTGTCGGTGAGATCATCAACAAGGAGCGAATATATATTTGTATGAGCCAATGTATATTTGTATGAGCCAATGTATATTTGTATGAGCCAATGTATATTTGTATAAGCGAATGTATATTTGTATAAGCGAATGTATATTTGTATGAGCGAATGTATATTTGTATGAGCGAATGTATATTTGTATAAGCGAATGTATATTTGTATAAGCGAATGTATATTTGCATAAGCGAATGTATATTTGTTGCGAAGGTTCCGGTGTTTATAGGTGTTTGGCGGGAGATAAGAGTGACTATGGTGCGGTGCCTTGCTCTTACTCACCTGCCTTACTGACTCTCACATACAGCATCAATGAGGGATGGAGCGCCAATACCTTAGCATGTGTGTCCGGTCGTCATGGTAACCCTCATCCAGGCCGGCAGATGACCTCCCTCGCTTGACCCGGTCATTCAAGGTATCGCCTTATCAATACAGGTCCAATAATTGTTATAACTTCCCATGAACTACATCTCGCCTCAATCACACTGTTATACGTCGTAACGAAGCCAAGAGTGGTGGCCAAGCTATAAAGCTACACGATATAACTACTGGACGGTGATGGAACATTTTAAGAAAGAGGTTACCTCAGTATCTGTGGTGGTGGTGGTGTCCACCCCGTCACGGGCAGCTGCTGGGGGAGGGAGGGACACTGCTCACTCTTGTCCTACTTTCTGCTAAACTTTACACCGTGGATACACTCATATGATAACTTTAAACTATTGTTCAGGTCGTGGGCGCCGCGCCACTGTCATGGCCGCCTCGCCGTCAGTCATTTTGGTTTAGTTTGTGATCACCGTTTGTCAGTTGTTTCGTTCACTATTAAGTTATGTACATGATCACTTTGATATTAAAATTACTTTTGGTGAAGTAGGCTCGGTTATCAGCCTACCGAAACTGGCCGTGTTGAGGAGGTGACACGTCACAGAGGTGCGGTGTGCCCCCTGCGGGGTCCAGGTGCCCTCTGACGCCGCCCGCGGGAGCCCGCCTTCTCCTGCCTCGAATTTTGACAATGGTTTACATTCCAGACTTCGTTAATTTAAAAAAAACTAATTTATATGTAATATTGAGGAAGATTAGTGTATTCAAATGTCCTGTTTAAACTTACAGAATACTTATTTTCCGCATTTACTGTGTATTAATATCTCATTGAATGTAAGTAATTATATGTGGCACCACCGCATTATTTTCGCCAAGCACTTGTTTCACCGTCTGGTTAGGTATAAATGTGATAGATGAAAAACACTTTTTCGATCTCATTTAAAAATTATAATGAAGTATACACACATTTCCTTATAAATGATTATCATTTAAAATTGATTTGGCTCCAGCATGAGGAGGAATGAGAGTGCAGGTAGCGGAGACAAGCGAGCAGACGGTGACAGGGCAGCACTAGGCTGTGTGGGGCACCTGCAACACCCGCAGGGTTTCTGGCGCTGGTCGGCTCCTTCCCATTCAATAGTTTAAACTATCGCTTGCTCTGGACGCTATAAATTTCTAAAATAACTATTCAATCCCATATTGTTATTAAAATGCGTTATTATATCCATAAGTTATGGTGCATGTTGGAAAGGCGGGCAACTTTTTGAAGGAGTTGATTTGAAAGTTGGGACGAGAGAAAGGGGTGTTGAGGGCTGATATTTATCTCAACACACATAATTAGTTTGTTGAGAGGCAGTTGTTGGTTTACTGATACCAGATAAAATCTGTTATTGACCATTTTACGGGGTTCATAGGGTACTCGTCAGAGCTCTTGGACTGTAATTAGTGACGAAACTAGTGTTGTTGCCTAATTTTAGTATGGGGGAGTATAATATGGAATTTCTGCTTTTATCAGCAACCGTTTTAAGAGCTGGATGTTGCAATGATGTGCCTTGCCAGAACTGAGTCCACCTTCTCGCTGAGGATTCGTGTAATTGACAAAAATAAATTTGAATGATGTGAATAACAAATATTTTGAACGGTTGGACAGTTTTTGGTACCTGTTGATGGGGTTCTGGGAGTTCTTCTACTCCCCAAGGCCAGGATTGACTTGTGAGAGTTTGGTCCACTAGGCTGTTGCTTGGAGCGGCCCGCAGGCCCACATACCCACCACAGCCCGGTTGGTCCAGCACGTTTTTTTTAGAAAACAGACTCGTTTTCTCTTGAAGATGTCCACGGTTGTTCCGGACAGACTACAGACCGTGTGAGTGTCCAACCCGTCCTCACACTAGGCTGTTTAATGCAGCGGCCGTCCTCCCCAGTCGTATTCACCAATTTTAACATACTGTGTATTAAAATTTGATTTGTTCTCATATATAAATTGATATTATTATACATAAAAATTTTATGTATAGTTAGGCTAAGGTTATGTTAGGTTAAGTGTTTAGGTTCTGTTGGCGATTATTTGTATTGGCAACCCGTCCTCGACTCGAGTCCATTGCATCCAGCGGTCGACCCCACAAGCGCATTCATCAATTTTAACATGCTGTTCATTCAAAACAGGAATTTTCTCAAAATATAAATTAATATTATAATATATTTGCATATTGTGCATATATGGGCATAGGTTAGGTTAGGTGTTTAGGTTGTGTTAGCGATTTGTAGATCCACGTATTTGTAGTACGTGGGTGAAGCATTTACAGCGTTGTGGTTCAAACAAAATTCGTCAGTGAAGCACTTGTTCCGGAAGTGTTCGGACGAAATCGGTTGTGAATCGTGTATAAACCGTTTTTCATTCATAAACAGGGGGTTTGGTGGGTGCATGGAATCACTTTTGGTGTCGAAGACGGGTTGTAAATATAATAAATGTAACCAAAGCCGTCAAAGATTGTGGAAAGATGTACACGTTCGTAAGTACTTGCGTAACTGCTTCGTGAATCTGGCCCCAGAAGTGTGTCTCCCATGGCCCGCAGCTCATATTGTCCTCCCATGTGCAGTGTGTGGGAGTGTGGCCGGTCTGTAGGCCTATAATGTCTCCAGTACCGGCTCACTTAACATATCCGTCGTATTCTACACCCTAATTGTTTGCTGTTATTGTCTTATGACTGGAGGCTCAACGCTTTACAGTGTCAAAATACATTCAAATACCCAGACACAGCTCGGACTTGCTTAACCGTCTCAAGTGAACAGCTCCTCAAACAAGAATATTAAAATCTGTCAACCCTTAAAATTTTACGTTATCTTGCGAGTGCTAAAAGGGGGAATCTTTTAAGTATCAATATTTGACAAATAGTGTTTTCCTAACTCAAACAATGTGGGGTTTATTATTCTACACATACTTCTAATGTCTCTCAGGTGTACACATTCACGTAGATAGAGGTCAAGGCGGTGTCCATCACTCTCACCACAGATTCTGCAACTCCGCTGATCAACTGATGTTTTGTCTTTTGATGATTACTTAATGAGGTGGGGGAGGAAGGGAACTATCAGGGGAAAGGGATATTGGAGGAGGGAGAGTAAGATAAGTGTTGGAGGAAGAAGGTGGTGGTAGGAGACATGGATGGAGAGAGGAGAGATGTGAGAAGAGGAAGTGGAGGATTGAGAGGAGAGAGGGACTGCCAGCCCCGCTCGGCTGGTAATGGCTGCGGTCTTACCATTACTCACACTGATGGCCACTGTCTTGAGAAAGTATCTGTATGGCTCTGTCTTGACTGCTGCCACACTCTCTCACACTCATAACACCTCTCTATTAATATCGCTTTTTTGTCTCGTTTTTGACATATCTCCTAACATGTGTGGCCTCAGGAGCTGTAATGTGCACCCTGCCACCACAGCCACCCAGCCACCACAGCCAACACATACACATGTCTAACATGTGCTTGCAACACTCCAGCGACACACCTCTATTATTTTACCCGCAAACTTGTTCTATAAACTCCCAACACTTTTTCTCTCTCACACACAGCCAGGTGGCGTGAGGGAGCGGGACGCTCACAGCCAGGTGGCGTGAGGGAGCGGGACACACACAGCCAGGTGGCGTGAGGGAGCGGGACACACACAGCCAGGTGGCGTGAGGGAGCGGGACGCTCACAGCCAGGTGGCGTGAGGGAGCGGGACGCTCACAGCCAGGTGGCGTGAGGGAGCGGGACGCACACAGCCAGGTGGCGTGAGGGAGCGGGACGCTCACAGCCAGGTGGCGTGAGGGAGCGGGACACACACAGCCAGGTGGCGTGAGGGAGCGGGACGCTCACAGCCAGGTGGCGTGAGGGAGCGGGACGCTCACAGCCAGGTGGCGTGAGGGAGCGGGACGCTCACAGCCAGGTGGCGTGAGGGAGCAGGACACACACAGCCAGGTGGCGTGAGGGAGCGGGACGCTCACAGCCAGGTGGCGTGAGGGAGCGGGACACACACAGCCAGGTGGCGTGAGGGAGCGGGACAC